GGATGGCTACATGAAATCTGAAGCATTTCCTCCTCTCAAACAAATGCAACAAAATAAAACCAAAAAGCAAGTGTTTTATTATGATATCAAGACCATCACACAAGTCTAAAGAATTAAACATAATCGAGAAGGAAAAAAGTATGTTCTTTGCAGAAGTAGCTAGGAACAACTAAACAAAGATGAAAAAAATAGAAGAGTTCCAACACTAAGTATTATCTTCTTTCTCTTAACTCCTAAATGTTAGTATTCTATCTTTGACCACCTTCCCATATGCTATATCCAACCTGGGCACTTTTATCCACCCCTTTGGACTACCAACTACAGTTAATGATTTCCAAACCTCTATCTCTAGCCACAGTCTGTCTCCTGAGTATCAGACCAATATATACTTCAGAACATCTTCACTTAACTTTTGACCAGAATTTTTAGCAAAAATCATACCAAACTGAACTCATTCCCCACCTGTTCCTCCTATATATCTATTCGGGTTAGTGGTATTGTGTTCCAAAACCTGGGAGTTACCCATTCTGTCTCCACCCCCACCCCAATTAATACTATTATCAGTCACCAAGTCAAGACCCATTCTATCTTAAAAAAAAAAAAAAAGATAATAAATCCATACTGTCCATTCTCAACACCTGTCTTGGCATATACATATTTGGAATAATTACACCCATCTCCTAACAGTTCTTCCTACCTTCAATCTGGCTTTTTCCCTAATTATTCTTCTACACGGCTGCAAAAGTGATCTTTCTAGACTACAATTTGAATCATTTCCACCACTGCTTAAAAATGTTCAGTGATTTGAAATAAAAATCTTCACTTAAAATCTTCAGCAGAATATCCTGTCTCTTGCCAACTCTTTAGCTTTCTCTCTTCCTAATCTTCCACATAAGACACTAAATTCCAAACACACTACTGCAGTTTCTAGAAAAAGTCATACTGTTTTCTTACCTCAATGCCTCTTTATGTTATTCCCCTTTTCCAGAAAGTTTTTTTCTTGACATAGTAACATCAACCAGCACAAGACTCAGATCAACCATTTTATGTGGCTTTTAACTTCTTCCATTCCTCTTTGATCCCACAGCATTTAACAGACACTGTTTCGTGCTATATTACAATTACCTACTTTACTAAACTTTAAACACTGTGCAAGTAAAATACAGTTATTATTCATTTTTGTGTCCCAACAATAATATCTAGCACATTTTCTGGCAATAATAAATGATCAAATCTATAAAATGTTTATGCCTTTTTGTTTTCTAGAAACAAAACTAACACATAAATAAAACATTCCCCAACAGACACAGAACAAAGCAGCTACTTAGGAAAAACAATAGACACAGGCAAGAAGGCAACTGACATAAATAAATGGGATACAAAAGGGAAAATTAAACACATGATTAATAAGATAATAAGTCTCTTCAAAGTAACTCCTGAGAGCACACTGTTTTTTGCTCTTTGACTTATAGCCTCTAACATGTTTTACCTATTTAATCTTCAATGCTTATTCTGACTTCCTAGAAAATAAGTGGTAGGTACAGAAAAAAAACTGGAAAGCATTACTTAAATCAGCTATTCTTCAAACATGAATACGCTCAGAACTTTAAAAATGCCATAGTAAGATCCCTGATCTACCCAATTCCAATTTCACTTCTAATAGTTGCCTCCTAAATAACTTAGGAGATTACAATGGATATTTTATAAACCAGTTATTAAAAGTGCTCCCTTATTAGAGTCCCAACAAATCTCCCTGAACTTATATTTTTTACTCTTATGGTAAGAAATTATATAAATTCACTATTTACTCTGTAAATATGCATTTATATTTTTATACTTAGGATGAAACGAAATACTTTCCTTCCACTTTCCTTCAATTGGTCCTTTAACAGAAACTTCCCCAGCTGAACTCTTACTATTTACCAGTTTTCCATGATCACAAATGAAAGAAATTAGAAAACACTCTTCCTAATACAGTCCTCTAGCATTCTTCATCCTTTTCCCTTTCTTTTCTCCACTGGTACCCAACTTTGCCCATTGATATAAAACAAATGAAGAATCCATTCAAGTCCATAATAAATTTTAGAAGTGTGTGAGGGAAACTAAACTCTACATAGCATATTAGCCTGATATAAACATAAGCATTAAGGTAGTAATATAATGATAATATATGCCAAGTGTGTGGTCACCATGAACTGAAAAACAACAAAAACATAAATCCATGCCTTATCTAGTGGCATCTAGTATAACAATCATAAATTAGGTTTTTTGAAGAATCTGTGGGGAGAAAAGAGACATGGAAGGCTGAAGTATCAACATATTGCTCTCTTGTGAAAACTGCCCTAGCAAGGTTTTTCTACCTCCAAATCATTAGCATTTTCTCTAGCCTGACTCTTAGGAAGGGCAACTATATTTCTTGGTAGGATCCATCCTACCCCTTCTAACTCCCAGGCTTAGACTGAGCTGCCTTGCAACTGTGAGAATTATTATTTTATTCCAATAGTTAACTCACGAGGTTTAAATTTATCTTTACCAAGCTGCCAGTGTATTAACTATAGCGTTCTAGCCCCACGGAATACTCTTTTCCTTCATTCCAAAAAAATGAGTAAAAATGTTAGATCCATAATGGGGAAGAAGGGACAATTATTCCCTACAGAAGCATTTCAACTAATAAATTCAGAAGCAATCAGGGAAATAGAAACTCACCACTAGAACACAATGGCAAAATCCATCAATGCTAAGATTAGCATTCATTGGCAAAGCTTAAGGAGAAACAGGCTATCTGCATTGCCTCAGAGTACCTGCCACAAATTATGTATTAATTTCAAAAGGAAAAACAGTAACTTTACAATAGAGACACTTGGCAAATATCACCTTAAACAAGTGATCACAGTTATCACCAATGATAAGAAGTTAATATCATGTACCCCCGATAGTAGGTGTTGAGAAGGGTAATAACTCACACCTGTGGTATTCTTCTCACTGTGTAACATCAATCTAATCATGAACAAACATCAGACAAACCCAAATTGAGAGGTGTTCCACAAAGTAACAGACCAGCACTTTTCCAAAAGGTGTCAAGGTTACAAAAGATAGAAAGACTAAGAAATTGTCACAGACTAAAGATTAAGGAGAAAGATTGACTAAATACATTGTAGGATCCAAATTGGATCCAGGAACAAAATAAAGACGCTGGTGAAAGTACTGACAAAACATGAATAAAGCCTGTAGTTAATAGTATTGCAGCAATGTTAATTTCTTAGTTTTGATCATTGTGCCCTGGTTATGTAAAATATTAACATAAAGGGAAAAGGGTGTAGGATGTATGGGAACTCTGCACTGTCTTTGTAACTCTTCTGTAAGTCTAAAATTATTCCAAAAGTTTTTAAAAGCTAAATCCCTGTTAGCAAACCTACTAGTTTAATATATTTTTTATTTACCCAGTTCTTTTTTTATACCCTCTCTCCTCCTTCAGTCCATTATCAATTTATTTTGAATTCCTATTCTTTCATACTTTTTCCCTAAAAGGCTTCCAGTTCTTACACTTTAGGACTTCTCAAAGCAGCCTAATTTCTTCCCAGCACAAAGCTATACTCTCTTTCCTGTCTGGCCACAAACTGACCTAACTTAAAAGATGTCACTGAAACACCTTAATACAGTAGCTGCATAGCAATTAACAATAGAGAAAGTGTTTTTAAATACACTTACATACACTAATTTTGAGACGCAAATTGTAAATACTATTATTTTACATATGAGAAAATAAGACTGCAAAAATTAATCTGACACTCAATAAATGTGAAAGCCTGAATTTGAATCCAGTTCATCCGGCTCCCAGACCAAATTACTTTACTCAAAGATGTGCATTTAAAAAGATTCAACTTCTGTGGCTTCAGGCAAGCGAATTACATCAACTATACCATGACTTTCAAGAAAGTTCTAAATTTCACCATTTTTCTAAATGCCCCTCTTTAAAGCTTCAATGATTCTACAAACAAGAATTCCTGAATTCAGTGAAAATTTTCTTTGTTCACCCTAACCATAACCTTTATGGTTTTTCAAAAGCAGTCTTCACTAATCACCTCTTCAGCCATCAACTTTTTAGGCTGAAGTGTCGCTTACCTCTATTTTCATACCAACTTTACTTTATGCTTTCTTTCATATACCTGAGAAGTCTCTGTGATCTCCCATTTCTTAATATTTGCAAGTAAGAGCTATGGACAATCCGACAGGGGCCCCAGCCCCCTGCAAAACTCTGAATATCTCTGTTTCCTTCACTCAAAAAAAAAAAAAAAGTCAAACAACTTATTCCTAATGCATGTGTCTGCTTAAGATTTAGTGCAATGGTGCAAGGCAATATAACAAAGTAACAATACTTGAGACTTTGGAGAAATCAACTTTCGCCAGACTTAACTCCAACCAGCATTTTTCTCCTTCACTCGTAATCGTCAACACAGTCTTTTTCATGTTATCTGACTTCTGTCCCAGTCAAGTGATAAAATTACTAAAACCCCAACCAACAGCGCTGAGATTCAAGAAATAATAAACAAAAAAAAATTACGGAAACAAAACTCTAAGTCTAAAAACTCAGTGAAAGAGCATTTATTAACATTGTTATGTGCAAAGGCACTGAAGGGGACAAAAAGCCGCTGAGGTCCTTGAGCACTTGGTGGTGATTCAATTTTGTGACCTCCCACCCTCACCCCTCCAGCGCCTGCATCTGCAGGAGTTCAAAATGTGGAGCTGAACTGCAGACGCTGAGCAACGGGATTTGCTCCAGCGAAGAACCCGTGGGAGAAATCGGGGGTCTCAGGAAGTAACTTTGGGAAGTGTTTTCCAAACAGCTTTACGCTGTTTAATTAAAACGGAACAGGCTGCCGCTCTGTTTGATCCTGCATGGGGTACTGGGGACGAGCAGGCCTAGGTGGTCTCTGAAAGGGCAAACCGGGACAGCGAGGGTCCCCAAAGGTCTGGGGCAAAGAAAAGGGGGCGTCACTTGCCTCCCATTCCTGCAAGAAACGCTGGGCCTCCTCAGAACCAACGGCCTTATGTCTCCTAAATTCATCCTTCACGTACTGGTCGCCCAGGGCTTTGAGGTCTGGGGGCAGAACCCGGTGCAGCTGCAAAATGAGCCTATACAAGGCCCGGACTCGGGAAACGTGACGCCCCGGCATTGCGCCGCGCGTGGACCGCCGACTGCGCCTGCGCAAAAGGACGGCGCGTCCCCGCCCCACCGAGCAGTCGCGGATTGGTGAACCGGAAAGCGGGCGGAACAGGGCGCGCAACCTTTATCCGGTTTGGTGCTCTCTGAAATGAGGTACTTCCGGAAACTCAAACGCGGCTGCTGGGCGGAAAACGGGCCGGTTCTTTCCTGGGAGGGGCGTGGCCTTCGTGGAGTCGCGCCTGCGCTTGGTCGTGGCTTCTGGACCGCCTGCGTCCTGGGGAGAGAGGTCGCTAACCAGAAGTCTGGCGTGGGTCGTGGGCACCTCTCAGTACCAGCCTACCGTCTTTTACGTTCATCTTCGCTCCCTCCCTCCTACTGACGGCCTAAGAAAGGCTTCCTCAAAATCAGGGCATTATTTGAAACCTTAAAATTTGTACCCCCATAATATGCTGAAATTAAAAAAAAAAAAATTGGGCTCCTCCAGGAAGCCTTCCGTGGTTAACCCAACCCACTTGCTGCGTTCTGTGTGAGGGATCAGAGTGAGGTTAATCTCGTCGTTCAGTAGCTCACCTGTTCACACTGCACAGTGCGGTATTTCCGATTGTACCTTGAAGGCAGGAGCTTTTCCATGTAACCAGTGAGCCTTGAGCCTGCGGACTTCTTAGCCCATGTCAAGTGGCTGCCTAAGAACCACAATTATTTCCAGGGCCACGATCCTCACGATGCTGGTTCAATAGTCTGCTATGAAAACAAGAAATCTGGATAAAGCTATATCTTTTTCAAAGCTAAAACTGAGAATGCAACTGGTTTCCCAAGCTAGCAGCTCTTTGTCCTAGTTCTTTTTCTCCCATCACAACTTTGGTACTTCAGCAAATCCTGATGGTTCCATCAACAAAATGTATGCGGGAATTTCTCACCATTTCTCACCACATACCTATCATAAACACCTCTCTCTACTGGATATTGTGTTAAGATTCCTTGTCTGTGTTCCAACTTTGGTCATGACCCAACTAAATTTGGCCTAAAGCCTCAATACTTGGAGTTCGTGTATAGAAACCGAAACCTAAGAGTATATATTTGTAACAAGTAGCTGAGAATGGGCCAATCATAGTAGCTGGGTTAGGAGGCAGAGGAAAAAAACACCCACAAAAATCATAGTGCTTGAGCTTTAGCCAATCACAAGCTGCCCCTAATTAGATCATGTCCATATAAGGCAAATGACTCATGACACATTTTGCCCAAATAAGGCAAACACTGAGCTATAACCAGTCAGCTATCTCTATAGTGCATTTCTTTTTTCTGTCTATAAATGCTGCCTGCTCAAGATTGCTAGATGGAGCTCTCTGAAGCTCTTCTGGTTCTGAGTGCTTTCTGATTTATGAATCATTCTTTGCTCATATAAAGTCTGCTAAATTTAATTTGTCTAAAGTTTTTCTCTTAACAAGCTAAGCTGTAAGTCAGACCATGTCATTCCTCTGCTCCATAAATTCTTCCAGGGCTTTTCATCAGAGTAAAACCCAAAGTCTCTCTAGCCCTTAAAGCTCTAAATTTTCTCCTACCACTTTCTTCCTAGTTGGCCAGTTGCAGCCATGTTGACCTTCCAGCTCTTAGTTCATCTTTGAAAAGGCCAGGCACATTCCCAAGTGAGGGTCTTGGAACTTGGCTATTCCCCCTGCTTGGACTGCTCTGTCGCATATATCTTCTTGGCTAACACTTTTATTTAACTCAGCTCATTACTTTGTGTTCCCTTCGAATGATATCCTCCCTGGCAACCCTATTTGAAATTCTGCTTGAAATTTCAGTATCACCAGGCCAAGAACTTCCTATGCCCCTCCTCTGTGTTATTTTCTCAGTAGCACTTATATGTTAATTGCTTATTTATTAATATTTATTCTCAGTTTTCCCCACTAGAATATATATTCCATGGAGGCAGGGATTTTGTGATTTTTTTCACTGATGTATCAATGACCTACATTAGACCTGTTGTAAGTACTCAATATTTGTTGAATTAGTGTGTGAAACTTTATTAACAGCGTCAAGTATTAGGTCATTAAATATGAATTTCTGATTTTGAATCAAAAGTGTAGTTTATTATATCTCAAACAAGAAGCAGTACAATTAATCAAAGTATGTGCCTAAACTATTGACACAGTTTTGCCATCTTAACAGTAGCTTGTTTATGCCAGCAACAAAGAAGCCTGGAGAGCAAGTGGCAAAGAAATCGCCAAAGGCATTTTCCATAGCTAGTTGAGAATTGAATATTTGTCCTTGCAAGAAGTAGTCCAAAGCCTGGAAGAAGTGGTAGTCAGTTGGTGCAAGGTCTGAAGAATATGGTGGATGACAGAGAGTTTCCAAGTCCAGCTTTTGTAGTTTGAGCAGGGTTTTTTTGTGCGACCTGTGGTTGAGTGTTGTCTTGCAAGAGGATTGGCCTGTCTCTGTTGACCAGTCTTGGCTGCTTAATCACAAGTATCCTCATCATTTTGCCCAATTGGTTGCAGTAGGCATCCTCTGTAATCAGTTGACCAGGTTTCATGAAGTTCTAGTGAATAATGCCAGCGCACTGGACCACCAAACAGACACCATTAACTTTTTTCGTTGAATATTCAGTTTTGAACTGTGTTTTGGCTCTTCATCTTTATCCAACCATTATGCCAAACACTTGTGATTGTCAAAAAGAATCAATTTTTCATCACATGTAACAATACACTGTAGAAATGGTTTGCCTTTATGTGGTGACAGCAAAGAAAGGCAAGCTTTGAGACAATTTCTCTTCTGATTCTGATTTAATTCATGTGGAACCCAGCTTCTTTACCTTGCCAATTGTTTCAAATGGTCCAATATTTTTGGAATAGTAATGTAAAACTTTGCTGCTACTTCACGAGTAGATTGAGATGTATTCACTTCCACTACAGCTTTCAGCTCATCATTATCCCCCTTGGTCTCAGGTCGCCCAAGTGGCCCATTTTCAAGATTAAAAGCACTAGAACAAAACCTCTCAAACAATCAATATACTGTGCATTCATTAGCCACATTGTTCCCAAACACTTCGTTGATATTTTGAGCTGCCTGTACAGCATTGGTTCCATGACAGAACTCATATGTGAAAATAACACAAATTTTTTACTTATACGTGGTTTCACAAAAATTACTTTAAAAAAAAGTTGAAAGATAATCACAAGCTAAAACATGTGTTTGCAAAATGGAGGGCATACCTTCACTATAAACACAAAACACGAAGTGTCAAACTGGAATGTCAGAGATATCAACTGTCAAACTTAGTACTAGAGGAAATTGGACATTTCATACTTAATAACCTATACCTCATATTCCTACCTGTGATAAATAGGCAAGAGTGTGGGAATTTGAGTGATTCTCTCACAACCCTCAGACTTCTGACTATGCAAAGAGTCTGAAAGACAAAGAAGACACACACAGGGACTTACCCATTTTAGTATCATTTTCAGGGTCCACCACAGTGCCTTACAAATAATAAGCACTCCAATATTTATTGCCTTGAAAGGAGTTTTTCCCTTTGCTTAAATTAAAAAATATATATTTGTTTAAAAAAACAGAACTTTGTTTTAAATGGATTTAATTTGGTATTGTGACAAACCACAATTAATGGCAAGGATTGAATGGCAGTGTGGTTGTTTTACTTCAGGAAATTTTTTCTAACCATACTTCATCTGTTAATGTCCCTGTAAATTGAAAATTAATTTCTTGTTCCAGTTTACTTTTTTACTGGTTTCCTTTGGGGTTAAAGTACATGTATAATAAATACTTCTTTCAGAGCCAAAGCTCTTATAAAAATGTGGGAAAACATTCTGCCAGTGAATTAATAAAAAATAATAATGAAAAAATTAATTGAGCCTAAAGAGAGCAGAAAAGGTCCACAGAGTACTGGGGAATCCATGCTCAGAAATGGCAGATGATGGGAGAGAGAGAAGCCAAGACATAGTGTGTGGTTAGGCCTTGAGGAAAGGACTCAAGCAATAACAGTGAGAATAATAACAGATAATGTTTATTATTTTTTTTTTTTTACAACAGGCTGGAAAGTTAGCTATGTTTTGAAGACAAAACTTTTTCTGTTCCCTTGACCTTCCAATGTAGGCCAACCAGTTTTCCTCTTGTGGTCAAAATAGCTATGAACTGAAAATAAAATCTGAGTTATATTACTGGCTACTAAGCCAGATCATTATACTTCATGCAAGCCTTTTCTGCATTCTTCCCCCATGTATTTCTTTCTCTTCTGTGTTATTCAGCAAGCTACCTAACCATCCTGTGCTTGGATTTTCTCGTGTGTCGAGTCAGCTGGATTAGGTAATTCTCAACACCTTTCAATTTCACTAATCTATAATTATGACTTCTTCCAGATTCCCTCCAAAATTTTTGATAAGTGGAAAGAGGACATGTATCTACCCTGAAATAATTACTTTGAAAATATTTTTAAGAAAAGGGAAATGCATCAAAACTATATGTGCAACACATCACTTAGGTTTCTCAGAGCACACAAAACATAATAAGTACATATACCCATAGCGAATATCAACACAGAAATCGCACTATTTGGTATGGTGCTTGTATGGACTGCCTCTCACATAGGCAGAAATGGCAGAGACAGCTAAAGGAGGTTTTGGACAAACAGAGTTTTGAGGCCAAAAGAGATAAAGAGAAATGGTGAAAAAGGAAAAATAAAGGAAAAGGGGAATGCCTGCACAGTGCATACTGAATTGTTACTTTGTATTAAAATTAATACATTAAAATGTGGGAAATAAATCCATCTTGCAAATATGTTAAATAATTTTTCTGTACAACAGAAGTGAGAAAGGATTGGGGAGTGGGAGAGGCTGGTGTTGAAAGATTTGGGAACTGCTTTGTCATTAGATAAGGAAGCAACACATTCACAGGCTTGGATTCAGTTGCATAAGTGGCTCAGTTTTGAACTTATGGTTATTCAAACTTCAAGTTCTAAATTATTGAGAATAATGAAAAGTCTGGGACAAAAATACATCTTTGACCCAAACAACCTTCACATTCTTAGTGGCCCAGAGAGAGAAACAAGTCTGATTTAACCA